TGCTCTGTTGATAATATTGACAACATTTTTAAGATGAAAATCCTGCCTTTTCTAGAGCATGAGCAATATCAGCAATGGGTACACTTGATTCTATACCTTTTATTACTACTTGCAGTCCTTTGCTGCTTTTGAGCTGGTACGTATAGAAGTTTTTCTTATCTTCATTAAGGTGTTTGGTTACCAACCGGTAATTTTCTTCAGTTAGAATCTGAAGTTTGGTCTCTTTAATATCGCCCTTGGTAACTGATGTTACGTGGAACGTATTGTCTCCAATGAGCTGAGTTAATTTATTCACGAGCTCACTACAGTTTTGCTCTCGTAAATATATTGGGGGCGGTTTGGGTTTGGCTTTAGAAACTCCTTTCGGCTCTTTATCACATTCATTGTCCAGAATCGCAAACTTATTTCCCAGTAGAGGGTTAATGTCAGTGGTTTTCGTTTTTGCAATTTTTGATGGGTTTGCAATTTTTTACTGCTGTGGGCTTAATTTTCGTTTGACTTGTATATACCTATCAATACCCGTTTGAGTCAATGTACGGGTTGTTGGATTAAGTAGGTCAACTTGCGCTGAGCGGCGTTGCTTGTCTTGGGCTGGTGCCGAAATTTCCGTTTGTGTAGGTGTGGGTGAACTGCGTTGTGAAAGCGCTGTCATTGCTGAAGTCGTGGTTGTAGTCGTTGTTGTGAGAGCTGCGCATACTAGCGCCAAAGATTTCAGACCTATTAGTCTATCATCTTTCCAGCTCAAGATAATGGAGTGACTGATTGAATCCTTTCTTAGGGAATCGGTTGCAGACAAACTTATGGCTTCGTAGCATGCCTATATGAAGGGGAAGTCCACCGAAAGAGCGCTGCACGAAATCGTGTCGCATATTGAGAGATCCCTTGCGTTAAAGGAATACACCTTGATAGCATTCTCAGACATTGAGGGTGCTTTCAACAACATCGCACCTGAAGCAATCACATCAGCATTAACGGGTCTGGGCATCGACTCACAGCTGGTGTCGCTAATACGACAGCTGCTAGTAGGCAGGGTTGTGTGGGCGGAACTGGCGGGGGTGTCGCTGGACAGATACGTTTGCAGAGAACCCCGCAGGGTGGGGTCCTCTCCCCTTTTATGGGTCATGGCGATTAATGAGTTATTACAGACTCTGGAAGGGAGGGGGGAGGCTCCAAGGTCATCGCGTATGCTGACGGCCTTGCGGTGGTATTCATTTGAAAATTTCCGCAAACTCTGTGTGACATTATGCAGGACAGACTAAGGTTAATCGAAAGATGGACCAAGGAGAAAGGTCTGGGTGTTAACACTGACAAAACGGACCTGGTGCTCTTTACCAGGAAGTACAAAATCCCTCCACATCAGTTCCCTGCCATAGGCAATAGGATTCTGAAGCTAGGAGAGTCGGCAAGATATCTAGGCGTAGTCCTGGACAAAAAGCTGATCTGGGTGCAAGATATACAAGAGCGCGTTCAAAAAACGACGGTAGCCCTCTACAGCTATAAAGGGGTGATCAAGCGTAGCTGGTGGCTATATCCTGGCACCATGTATTTCCTATACACGGTGGTTATTAGGCCGATTCTATTATATGGGGTCTTGGTATGGTGGCCAAGTCTCAACAGGAAATCTACGACTGAAGCACTCCAAAGGGTGCGATGCTCTGAATCTGTGAGGCTCTACGCACAACTCCATCGGAGGCCATGTGCGTGTTGCTCGATATTTTGCCTTTTGCAATTGTTGGAAAACAATCAGCGGGATGTGCCGCCTTGAGGCTGAGGGAACTACCAGGCTGGAGGAACACTCAGGAAGACCACACCGCAATCTTAAAGAACGTAAATATACCGGACACGGACTACTGTGCACCAAGGTTGAACTTCACACATAGGTATAGGATTTCCATACCAGAAAATTCTGGTCGGGAGGGGCTCCTGACGACAATGGATCACTCCACCTCTACACCGATGGCTTCAAGCTAGACGACAAGGTAGGAGGGGGGGAAGGGGGGGGGTCTTCTCAGTCCTTGGATGGAAATATGTTTTCGCTTATCCAACAACTGCAGCGTCTTTAAAGCTGAATTCGCTACTATACAGGAAGCGGTGGGACACCTACGTACAAGAGCAGTCAGCTATAATAATATCTTCATCCACTCAGACAGTCAGGCCGCACTCAAAGCGCTCGAATCGGTCACATGCAATTCAAAAACCGTAGCGGATGGTATGGGTTCCGAGGCACCGGAACATACCAGGCAATGAAAACGCGGACGAACTTGCAAGAGAGGGCACATCCGCTCCACTTTCGCAGGCCTGGGAGGGATTCATTCAAAGGGATCTGTCACTTAAACTAGCAAGGGACAGGTGGGATAGCCTCACCACTTGAAACAACACGAAGCCTACATGGCCAAAATGGGACAAAAAGCGGTCGAAGGACCTTCTCATGCTAAGCAGAGGGGACCTAGCCGCAGTTTTGGGTCTGCTAATAGGCCATGCTACTATGGGAAGGCACGAGGAGAAGTTAGGGGTCCCCCATAACGACTTATGCAGAAGCTGCAGGAATGAAGAAGAGCCAGAAACGTTGCGGCGCCTGTTATGCGATTGCCCCGCACTTTGTAGAAGAAGACAAAAGTTTATGGGTTCAGGATATAGTAGGCATACGGCAACTTCTGGGTTTCGCGAAATTCACACTATGGTTTGAGTAGGAGGGTTCTAAGGATCCGCGTGGTGTCACAACGGGCCCACAACCAAGAACCTATGTGTGCTAGTGGGGTCACTGGCAGCCACTTCAACCTAACCTAACCTAACCTACAGCACAAAAAAAAATCCATTCACCACTACATCATCGAGGGAAGCGCTTCACTTCGCCACTGTATCATAAGGTATGTAAATATAAAAACAACAACATCTATGTATTTATATACAGGGTGTCCCAGCAGTAACGTGCCAAACTTTAGGGGATGGTAGGGGGGCGGCGAGGGTGAGCTCTCCGATAAACAAAAAATTTTCAGGTAAAAGTGTCACCGTTTTTGAAATATTTAAATTTTTTGAATTAAAAAAAAATCGTGCCTTTTCATGTATTTTCTTTAACTGCATCTACAAACCAGTCTATACTTAATAAATTTTTTATGTAAAATACTTCCAGATAGTTGCTTCTCCATACTCAAATGCAATGTATTTAAAATAAATTAAGGAACCATCATAAAATTAGGACTATTTTGGGATTTTTATCTTTTTGACATTTTCTTCCCCAACTTTGACTATCTCTGGTGAAAAACAATCTACTGAGCTATAACTTTACATTTCATAACAAAATCGCTCATTTAATAAAGATTTCAGACTATTTCGAATAGAAAAAAAAGTTGTAGCTTCTTTTGTAGACAAAGGACTGTGACACGGTAGAATGTATTTAATAGATTTAAATTTAAGTTGCTCTTGTTACCGACCAATAACATGCTAAATAGTAATAGTGAAAGTGGATTTTGTGAAATTGGGCCCTTCGAAAATAGTGTTATTAATACTGACAGAGAACACGCAGTATACGTCGCATGAATATGCGGATATTCACCTAAATTGCGGTGAAACTTGCTGTAATACCAGAGCTGCTCAAAGACTCTATGCAGAGCGATACCCCAATCATCGGCATCCGCGTCGTGAAATATGAAGGTAAGCGATTTTTACACCTTTCTTGTTTGCTTGCTTGTTAACTATCATTTTTCACTTTTTTAAGGTCGCATACCTGGACGACGTGGCGGCAAAACAGGACGTCCTGCGACGGTAGATGTTGAAGTTGTGTTAGAGGAAGTGGAACTAGGTCCATCGACTTCAGTGAGAAAACTACCACATTCTGGCCTTTTGAAGTATTTTCTGTTACTTACATTCATAATTATGCTTTGAATAAAAGTGTACTGAAAACGACCGATTTCACTGGACCACAAATTTCAACTTTTTCTCTTTACCAGAAACGCCGTTATGAAATTCTTATGTAAAATCACCCCCTGATTCCGAAAATCAAGGTTATTTTTAAAAAAAATTGGGTCCACTTAATCATATATATTTCAAGAACGAAGTAAGCAATTCCAAAACGGTTTGAAGCTTTTAAAAGGTAATAAAATTTTCTATAAGCTGTGCATACAACACTTTTTGCTAGGCCCTGTAGATTCAAAGATAACGAACAATCATTACCGATTTTTTCAATTTTTTTTGTAAAAATATAAAAAAAATTGTACTTTGCGGGGAAGGATCTCGAAAACCTTTTATTTTTTTGCAGATTTTTTTTTCTCCCTAAGCTCTGTTGTATTACAAAAAAAATAAGCTATCATCGAAGAAAATCGATGCAAAACTACGTAAGTTATAAGCGATCAAATAAAAATACCCAGGTTGCGCAA